CTTGAGTCACGGGAAATGCTCCCATTGCAATCAACTTCCTACCCAGTCTTATATAGCCTCTCACCACCATCAGTTACCCTCAAGATCCCCTCCCTCGTCCGTTATCCTGGAGGTCCTGTGGTTAGATATGTCCTGCAAAGTTTTGGGTGATCAAATAGTGACTGTGCTTCATGGCTTGGATATGCTGAGACTCAGTGCTAGTTACTGGTCTAGAGGCAATGAGAGGTGGAGCTTCAGAAAGATTAGCATTGTTTTATAAGACGTCTACCTCATCTACCTTGGTGAGATCGTTGCACTGTCTCCAGGAAAAATGAGGCTGTTCTTTTCTATCAAGCAAAGGAGTAGCTCATGCTGGCCAGAAGGGTTCAGGAGCTCTGAGGGTTCGAGGTTCTTAGATACATCCACCCAAATATCCCCAAGCCAGGCCTTAGGGCCCATTCCTTCTCTTTAAAAGGCTTGAATTTAGTACAGGAAAGTTGTTAAGGATGCACAGGTCTCCTCTGCCGCTCTGTTGCCCTTGATTAAGTCTTGAGCCTTGTTTCATCACTCTTACTTCCTGGCCACAGAAGTGAGCATTTCTTTACACGTTGCCTTGGGAGACTTTCTGGCTTTCACATCATGTGCTGAGTGGAGTGGGCTAAGAGCCTTTCATTTTTTCTTCAAATCTTCTAAGGCAATTTGGAAAAGTTAACCACCTTCATAATCCTTGTAATTACAGCTGCCTTTATATCTTTCAAGTGCCCAAGCTACTAACTATATAAGCCAAACTTTCCCTTCAACTTCTATCTCCTTCCAGTCTACCAAAGATAAGAGTCTTACACTAGGGATAACTAGCATCCTACTCGACAACAGTGGTGAGAGGTCTCTGCTGTCTTTTGAATGGTGGGTGACCTAGTTGTAGATTCCCTTCCGCATGGCCAGCCTTCTACTGCTACTTCCTACCGTCTTAGGTTCAATCCCCATAAAAGCAGAGCCTAAGCCTAGAACTTGGGTGCAGTGTATTTGGTAGATGATCCCAGGAACTGAGAGAGAAAGAGTGAGGAAAGTAGCAGAAGGAAAATTCAACAAAGTGTATTTTGGTATCTGTTTTCTTCTGGAGGTTGCCCCAGAAGGCATTAACTCTCCTACATTCTCAGGCTACATTTGTGGGTTGAGAGAGCTGTTGAGGCTTAGGAGAAAGCCCAGAAGCAGAAAGGCACTTACTACACTAAGATACAAAGGAAAAATACAGGAAAAAACCCTTGGCTCAATGGTGAAGAAACTGCCTACCAACGCAGTAGCCGTGGGGGGACGTGGATTCGATCCCTGCATTGGGAAGATCCCCTGGAGAAGGAAATTGCAATCTACTCCGGTATTCTTGCCTGGGAAATCCCATGGACAGAGGAGCCTGGTGGGCTACAGTCCACAGGGAAACAAAGGACATGACTGAGTGACTGAGCGTGCATGCACACACACAAGCATGCACACATGAAACTTACACTCCAGTTGGGGCAGAGTGGGTGGAGGGAGATTGACAAAAGATAATATATAGCATGTTAAATGGTGACAAAGGCTAGAAAACAAAGCAAGAAAGGAGGGTAAGTTGTGCTGGTTTTGTTGGGTGTGGGGAGAATGTACGTTCTTTTAAAATAAAGTCGCTAGGGAAAACATCACTGAAAAGCTGACATTTAAGTAGAGACCTGATGGAAGTGAGTAAAATCAACACAACACTGAGAAGGAGCAACTGTGAGGTAGGAGAGAAATCAGAAGAGGGTAGTGCCCTAGAAGACTGGTGAAGACAAGGAGTCCACTATAAGCATGCTGCTGATGGGCCTAGATGAGGAGGGAGAGCCGGACAAAGGCCTTACCAGGACTGGAGTCAGCGTTATCCTTGACAAGAGCAGGCTCCGGAGAGTTGGAGGTGGGATTCAAAGCTGAGGGGAACTAACTAAGAGCAAAGAGGGAGGGGAGGAATTGAAGACAGCGAATATAAACAATTTGGGGGAGTTTAGGTATAAAGGAAAGCAGAGAAATGGGGCAGTAGCTGGAAGGTAATATAGGATGAAGAAAGGACTTTTTTCCAAGATGGAAGACCTCCCAGGATTTCTACTTCCATTTCCCTTCATCTTTCCTCTTGCTGTAGACAAATGTACAGCTTTTTTCACCTCTCTTCCTCAAACCCATAAAATATTTTCGCAAAGCTCTTCCCCAGAGAGTTCTGAGCTATAGAAGAATGCCACAAAAAAGTCCTTTGTTCCTACTTTCAGTGCTGTCACATTGCCTGAGGCAATGAGCTTGCTGACTTAGTCAAGGGGTGAAACTCCAGAGCAGAAAGAACAAAGGCAGATATCTCAAAATATCATCCTTCCGATTTGATCTGGGTCCTTTATCCACTTGGATGCCCTTCTCTAAACATCTGTTGCTGCTCTGTCAGGGCAGATAAGTTTTCTCTGTTCTAGAGAATCAACTATTTGTTTTCAAGTGCTCTGACCAAAGCAGCATTCCTCAACTTCAGGCACTCTTGGATCACCTTCATGATTTTTGCTATTTCACCATACTGAATAGTTTTTATCTCAGGTTTTAAAGTAAAGTACTTTCCTCCTTAAAAACATTTTATTGCAGTAAAATTCACATAAGTCACTAACATGTACAATGCAGTGGCTTTTAGAATGTACAACATTTACAATGTTGTACAACCATTACACCTCAAAAACATTTTTCTTCAACTTGAAAGGAAAGCCTGCTCCTCTTATGTAGTCACTTCATCCTTCCCACTACACCCCCGCCCCCCCAGCTATGGATTTGCGTCTTCTGGATATTTCATACAAGCAAAATCACAACATGTGGTCCTGTGTATCTGGCCTCTTCCACTTAGTTTCTCCATCAGTGCCTTATATTGTGTTTTTCCCCCCCTTTGTGTATTGTTTTGATTCCCTTCTCATTTCCTTTTCTGCATATTTTTTATTTTCCAAGTTATTCTCAAAGAAAATTTTATTTCACCACTACAACTATTCAAAATATTTTAATCCATGTTAATATAAATATTAATGCTGGCTTAAAACTAAATATTAAAAAAACTAAAATCATGGCATCCGGCCCCATTACCTTATGGCATAGAGAGGGAAAAGGTGGAAGTAGTGACAGATTTCCTCTTCTTGAGCTCTAAAATCACTGTGGATGGTGACTGCAGCCATGAAATCAGAAGACATTTGCTTCTTGATAGGAAAGCTATGACAAACCTAGACAGTCTGTTGAAAAGCACAGACATTGCCAACAAAAGTCCATATGATCAAGGCTATGGTCTTCCCACTATTCAAGTAGGGTTGAATCATAAAGAAGGTGGAGTGCTAAAGAATTGATGCCTTGGAACTGTGGTGCTGGAGAAGACTCCTGAAAGTCCCTTGGACAGCAAGATCAAACCAGTCAATCTTAAGGGAAATCAACCCTGAATACTTGTTGGAAGGACTGATGCTGAAGCTGAAGCTCCAGTGTTTTGGTCATCTGATGTAAACAGCCAAGTCATTGGAAAAGTCCTTGATGCTGGGAAAGATTGAGGGCAGAAGGAAAAGAGGGCATCAGAGGATGAGATGGCTGGATGGCATCACTGATGCAATGGACATGAACTTGGGCAAACTTCAGGAGATAAGTGAGGGACAGAGAGGCCTGGCGTGCTACAGTCCATGTGATCACAAAGAGCTGGACACAACTGGGCAACTGAATAACATATATATAAATACAGAATTATTAAAATTCAAAAGAGTACTACTCAAAAGAAATGTTTTTAAGTTTAATGTCTAATGACATGGTCTGTGTTGTTTTGGCCACATTTTGTACAAAGTAATGGTTTAGTAACCCCTAGTCTTTCTCCTGAAAGCAAGTTAAGGTAAGGCAGGACATCCACTTCTCTCAAAGATTTCACGTGGCTCTAGGGAAATGTTTTGGAATCTTACTGGACTTACTGGATGTTGACATCGCCTGTCTGTATTCCGAGGAAAGTTTGCAGATACCAAGGACCACTGTCATCACCTCCTGGTGCAGCCACGTCACTCACAAGTACAACACACTCAACAAAGGCACCGATACGATACCATGGGCATAGAGAGGGGGCCCCCATTTTCCGGGAGAGAACACTCATCTGGAACGGATCTAGAAGCAGATCAAAAATCAGACACCTATAGGAGGAAATGAGTGAAGCTGACCAGGAGGCAATTGCTGTTGGGCAAAACCAAGATCCGTGATGTCTAAATTTCCTGGGTTTTCAGGAGAACACAGAAAATCTGGATTTTTAATGGGAAATCTCCAAATTCGTACGTGTTGGCAACTCACACAAAACTGTAAAAAAGTGGATTGGGCAAATCTGTGCACTAGATCAGCTCTAGAGAGCGCTTATCTGTATCTCCGACCAGTCATTTTATTTATTTATTTATTTTCCGACCAGTCATTTTAGAAAGAAGCCAGGAAAGTGTCTCACCAAAAGCCATCCAGCCAGGACGGGGAGCCAGAGCCCAAAGTTTCGAGAAGGCTTCTGTCTCGAAACAGTTTCCAGGTCGTAAAATACATTCTTATCCTGAACTCAGGCTGAAACCCCTCCAGGGAGCGCCTCAAGGAGGGAAGGGCCAAGTGCAAGGTCCTTGACCCGCCCGCCCAACCGCACCCTCCGTGCCTGAGCCCGGGTTTCCCCGCCTCCCGGACTTTGTCCTCCGTCCCTTAGGCCAAGAAAGCCATCACTGTCACTGCCTTTCACCGCCTGCCATCCTCGCCCCCTAGACACTGCCTGTTGCCGGCCTGGCTCCCACTCCGCGTTCCCAGCGGCCTGCAAACTTCTTCCTACACACCCCTATCGCATCCTCCCGAGACCGGCTGTGGGGGAGTTCCCGGTCCATCACAGGCCGGAAGTGATCTTCCCTGCACGCACGCAGCGTGCGCAATGCTCGCCGGGAGCCCGGTCAGTGCCTGCCCTCCGGAGCAACGCGCCTGAGGTGACGAGCGAGGTGCGCTTGCGCCGCACGGGTTTTATTGAGTCACCGCGACTCCGGAGCCCGCGGCTCGAGCATGGGCAGGCAGCCCGCGCCTTCGCGCTTGCGCGTCTTCCTTTGCCAGGCGCACGCCGCGGCAGCCGGGCTTGCCCCGTGGTCGAGCTTCTTCTCCAGCAGGTGCATTCGGGCTGTGGTCTCCGTCAGCATGTCCATAAGCAGTTCCTGCTGCAGCTTCAGGTAGTTGTTCTCCTCCAGCAGCACTTGGCTTTTGACTCGCTGCATCTGTGCCTTCCAGCCGGCGATGGTCTGCGAGGGCAGCTGCGGCGGCGACCACACTGGCTGGCCTTCGGCGGTCCACCGTCCGCCGCGGAACACGAAGGCCTCGTCGCTCAGGCGCGTGCGCGGCGGGCCGTAGCTGAGGCCTAGTTCCGCCTGGCGCGTCTGGTGGTCCAAGAGGTAGAAGGTAGACATGGAGGAGATGCGGCGCAGCGGCGGGCGTCGCGGTGAGAAGCGCCGCGAGCAGTGGTCGATCCAGAACTGCCGCAGCTGCTCCCACAGGCGGCTGGCGTAGCCCCAGGCCAGGCACCCAAAGGCCTCCAGGGCGAGGGCCGGGCGGGCCTTGTCAGGCGCACGAATGCCCGGAGCGTAGCCACGAGGACCGGGGTGACTCGGGCTGCGCCCTTGCCTCTCAAGCCCCAATGTCCAGAATGATAAAGGCGAGCCAGGGGCACTGCTGGGGAGCAAGAGTATGTGTGAGCAGCCTGCTCGGGCGAGCTGTTCTGCCCCCTATTCCCTAAAACCACGAGGCCTGCTGGGCGGGGCTCAGGCCTGCGACGCCGCCTGGGACTAACAAGCTGTTGGCCACTGAGGAGTCCGTCCCTGCCCACACGCCTCCAAGCAGTCTTCTCGGAAACTTCTCCAAAGACCACTTCGGGCCTTGGGGCTAGATAGGCTGACTGAGGACCAGAGCCCTGCTCTCTTGAGTGCTGAGTGGCTGCTGGAAGGGGTTAATGGGCCCTTAGGGAAGGAGGGAATGCTAGCAGAGGCAAGTAAAGATGCACAGGAATTTTGACGGGTACGTTGGGGGTGCATAAAGGAGAGACTCTAGGCAGACTGAAGGGCTCTGCAAGGCTCCAGTGTTGTGCATGTGAGGAAGAGCTTGGGGTAGTGGCCTTGTCAGGCGCACGAATGCCCGGAGCGTAGCCACGAGGACCGGGGTGACTCGGGCTGCGCCCTTGCCTCTCAAGCCCCAATGTCCAGAATGATAAAGGCGAGCCAGGGGCACTGCTGGGGAGCAAGAGTATGTGTGAGCAGCCTGCTCGGGCGAGCTGTTCTGCCCCCTATTCCCTAAAACCACGAGGCCTGCTGGGCGGGGCTCAGGCCTGCGACGCCGCCTGGACTAACAAGCTGCTGGCCACTGAGGAGTCCGTCCCTGCCCACACGCCTCCAAGCAGTCTTCCCGGAAACTTCTCCAAAGACCACTTCGGGCCTTGGGGCTAGATAGGCTGACTGAGGACCAGAGCCCTGCTCTCTTGAGTGCTGAGTGGCTGCTGGAAGGGGTTAATGGGCCCTTAGGGAAGGAGGGAATGCTAGCAGAGGCAAGTAAAGATGCACAGGAATTTTGACGGGTACGTTGGGGGTGCATAAAGGAGAGACTCTAGGCAGACTGAAGGGCTCTGCAAGGCTCCAGTGTTGTGCATGTGAGGAAGAGCTTGGGGTAGCGTCGGTGTAGGGTATTAATAGCAGAAGAGGAAGCTGGAAAGGGAAACCAGGTCGTTCTGTGAGGGTGCTGTACAGGCAGGCTCCAAAGTTTAGACTTCCTTCTGTGAGTTAGAGGGCACTAACTGAAGGACTACAAAGGCAGGGCTAGATCTACATTCTGAAAAGTATCTGGTGGATGTCTAGCATACCCAACAGCATTATTGCCCTTATCATTCACTTATTTTACAACTTTGAACTGACTGACATCTGCTTTGTGCCAGGCTGTGGTTTGGGTAGAGGGTCCCAAGCATAGCCTACGCCTGCCCTCAAGATATTCCTGGTCCATCTGGGAAGCCTGAGGTGTGTGTTTAGATCACAGTCCCTTGTAGTCGGTTCGATGGAGGCATGTGCCACGTGCTAGGACCTATGCTTAGGACCTGAGCCAACAGTGGTTGTGCAGACTGAGCATGACTTCTACCCCAAGCAGACTACGTGCTCAAGGAAGCTAAAGTCAGGTAACAGACGTGTCCCGTTCTCCCTTGCCTCACTCCTTAAGTGCTGATTCTGTTGTATGAGAAAGAGGACTGCGTTTTCTTTTAAATTCCTCTTCGCCCCATGGAGAGTGAAAAGAATCCTGGGGCAGTGTTCCCTCTGTTAGGCCCCCATTAATTCAGCACACACTATTTTTCACACAAACCTGGGCAGTACTGTCCCCTAGATCTGGCTCAGGGACATGTCTCTGGAAGACCACATAGGGCCTAAAGGATAGAACCAGGCCCACCCTTGAGGTTGCATCTTTCCAGAGGACCCTTTCCCCATAATCCTCACATGTCATGCCTCACCTGGAGGATGTGTTGAAGTTGCCAAGCTGCTGTCCTAGGCCTGGCCCCATCTCTGAACCACTCAGGTGCTTTTTACCAGCTATGACTCACAATGCCTCTTGGCCAGATCAGCTAAGCTATAAAACAGACCCCAGGGAACTCCTCTGTATTCATTCAGCACACTTGCTGAGGTCCTACTGTGTTCCAGGCACTGTTCTTAGGGTGTGACAAAGGTATTCCCTCATTATTCTTAGATGTGGAGAAGGTCATAAGCAGAACCTAAGATAGGAATATGTTCCAGGGGAATAAACAAAATAGTCCCTCATGAAGCTAACCAAGGGTGTCATGGGTCAGATTTCGCAGAAGCAGAGCCTGAGATGAGAATTTTTAGAGGGATTTATTGGGGAAGTGACGAAAGCAGGACAGGCCAGGGAAAAAAGGTAAAGCTAAGCAAGAACATGGCAAGTGGAGACTGACTAGTCAGATCTCACAGGGAACTGTACAAAATTGTGCCACAGAGTTAGGTCTCCTTACTGCAAAGGAGCCAATCTTTTATGCTTTTCTTTTCACCCACCCACCTCTCATTTCAGTCAGTCATTGGCAGGGGCAGCTGAGAGTTGTCAACCAACAGTTCAGGCACCTATGGGGTGGGTGCACCTCCAGTAAAGGGATCTGTGGGATGTCAACAACATAGGGAGGAAGCAAATAGACAATTAAAATGAAAGGAAATAACTACATTAATAAGAATTTCTGATTGTGATACATGCCATGAAGAAAAGAGAAATACAGGAAGTGACTTTAGGACAAAATGAGGGGTAGGGACCAATTTAGAATTAGAACTTAGTGAAGGCACCTGATAGTCATACCTAGACCTGAATGATGAGAAGGGGCTAGAGGTTCAAAGGAGCTGGGCTTATCTGAAGGACAAGTGCTGTGTTGAGCAGTGGAAGGAAATAAAGTCAACGCTGTTCTCCAAACATGCTCAGTCAATTGCCATCATCTCTACTTAACTTTCCTTACCCCAGGGGTCTCTTACAGGGGCATCCAGTGTCTTGATGGCTCTGGAAGGAGTCACCCAGCCCCAGGGGAGCTCACAGTGGAGCAGAACCAAGTGGTAGTGCCACCTCCCAGAAAACTTTTTTCTTGAACAGGTATGATTGACACAATAAACTACACACATTGATAATGTACTCTTTGGTATGTTTGGATAATTTGATGTAAGAAATCATCACCAAAATCAAGATAATGAAGATATACATTACTTTCAGAAGTCTCCTCTGCTCCCATGACTATATAGTTTGTATTTTCTAAAATTTTATATAAATAGAATTATTTAGTATGTACTTTATTTCTGCACTAGCTTCTTTTTTTTTTTTTTTTGCACTAGCTTCTTGCAATATAATTATTTTAGGTTGAAATTCATTCATTCATTTTTTAGTGAGTAATATCCATTACTTAGAAATACTGCAGTTTTCCCATCTACCTGTTGATGGAAGTTTGGGTTGTTCCCCTCTGAGGGGCTATACAGCTGCTATAAATATCTGTATAATGTCTTTGTGTGGCCATACGCTTCAGTTTTTCTTGAGTAAATACCTAGGAATAGGATGGCTAGGTAATATGATGCGTATGTTTACCTTTTTACGAAGTTACCAGTTTTCCCAAAATGATTGTACCATATCCCCACCAGCAGTGAAAATGTTTCTCTTCCTGTTCCTCCACATACTTGCCAACAGTTAGTATGGTAAATCTGTTTAATTTTAGTTATTCTAGTGGGTGTGTCTAAATTGTGATCCTGATTTCTCTATTGGGCTGATTATGTTGAGTGTCTTTTCTTTTTTTGTTGTTGTTGAGTGTCTTTTCATGTGTTTATTTGTTACCCACCTTGCTGTTCATCAGTCACATGATGAACAATAAAGTTCAGTTCAGTCCAGTTCAGTTGCTCAGTCCTATCCACCTGGACCGCAGCACACCAGGCTTCCCTGTGCATCAGCAACTCCTTGAGCTTGCTCAAATTCATGTCCATCGGGTTGGTGATGCCATTCAACCATCTCATCCTCTGTCATCCCCTTCTCCTCCTGCCTTCAATAATTTCCAGCATCAGGGTCTTTTCAAATGACTCAGTTCTTCGCAGCAGGTGGCCAAAGTTTTGGAGCTTCAGCTTCAGCATCAGTCCTCCCAATGAATATTCAGGACTGATTTCCTTAACAATAGACTGNCCACAGTTTGTTGTGATCCACACAGTCAAAGGCTTTGGCATAGTCAATAAAGCAGAAATAGATGTTTTTCTGGAACCCTCATGCTTTTTTGATGATCCAGCAGATGTTGGCAATTTGATCTCTTATTCCTCTGCCTTTTCTAAATCCAGCTTGAACATCTGAAAGTTCACAGTTCAGGTACTGTCGAAGCCTGGCTTGGAGAATTTTGAGCATTACTTTGCTAGCGTATGAGATGAGTGCAATTGTGCAGTAGTTTGAACATGCTTTGGCATTGCCTTTCTTTGAGATTGGAATGAAAACTGACCTTTTCCAGTCCTGTGACCACTGCTGAGTTTTCCCGATTTGCTGGCATGTTGAGTGCAGCACTTTCACAGCATCATCTTTTATGATTTGAAATAGCTTAACTGGAATTCCATTATCTTCACTAGCTTTGTTCATAGTGATGCTTCCTAAGGACCACTTGACTTCGCATTCTGACCAATAAAGACATACCTGCAAATAGTGAGGGAAGGCTATCTTTTATAAATGGTGCTGAGTCAACTTGTCATCCATATGAAAAAACACTATCAACAAAAATTAGCTGAATATGGAACACAAAATTTAAACGGTGAATTGTCTAGCTTTGCAAAGCATTCTTAAATATTACACGAAAAGAATGACTCTCAAAAGTAAAAATTGATAAACTGGACTTTGTTCTTGTCTTTTGCCCCTTTTTTTAAAAACTGGATTGTTTCATCTGAGTATAAGGAGTTCTTTAATGCTAGAAAAAAAACTGTCAGATATGTTTTGCAAATATTTTTTCTCAGTCTCTGACTTGCCTATTAAAGCAAAAGTTTTTAATTTGAATAAAGTCCAGTTTATCAATTTTTACTTTTGAGAGTCATGCTTTTCATGTAATATTTAAGAATGCTTTGCCATACTAGAAATTTCACTGTTTTAACTTTACATTTTATGTCCCATTTTCAATTAATTTTTGTTGATAGTGTTTTTCATATGGATGACAAGTTGACTCAGCACCATTTATAGAAGACTAGCCTTCCCTCACTATTTGCTGTTATGTCTTTTTTTTTATCTTGTGACGGTACGCATGACTGTTTCTGGACCCCACGTGCTCTTCTATTGATTTTTTTATTCTTATACTAATAACATTTTCTTTAATTATTGTGGCTTACAGTAAATCTTTATCTGGGAATATAAATCTTCAAACTTTTTTTTTAAGGATTGCTTTGGTTTTCTAGGTCCTTGGAATTTTCATATAATTTTAATTCCACATAATTGAATTTCTGTCCTAATTTTAGAATTAGAATGTCAGTTTCCACAAATAAATCCTTATGCTCACTGTTCAGAGTTCTCT